GACACTACATCCTTGTAAAGGGAACAATCCAAGAGGAGATGACAATCATAAATATCTATGCACCAAACACTAATGCACCCAACTATGTAAAACAAATACTAACAGGCATGAAAAATCAAATAAGCACTAATACAATAGTAGTGGGGAGCCTCAATACCCCACTGCCACAAATAGATCAACTAGACAAAAAATAAGTAATGAAATACTAGAACTCAAACACTTGAACAAATAAACTTAACAGATATTTACAGAGTGTTCCACCCAACAAAATCAGAATACATTTTTTCAGCTGCACATTGTTTGTTCTCCAAAATTGAACTCCCTCCTACTTGCTCATATTCACTGATAGAACATGTTTAAGTAAGTGCAAAGGAATTGAAGTCATCCCTTGTATATTATCAGACCATACTGCAATGAATGTCATATTATATACCTAAAATGTACCAATAAAATTAATTTTAAAATATGCTAGGTTATGTTAAATAAATAAGCTGGCAAGTACTAAATAATCTCACTCATGTGTAATCTAAGAAATTGATGTAATAAAAGAAGGGAGTTGAACAGTGGTTACCAGAGATACAACAGTACAGGGGAGGAGGGATGGAAGAAACATTGAGCAATGGTTACTAAGTTATTTGGGGAGCAGGAAGCTCTGGAAGGCTGTGCACAGTAGGAAAGCTATTGATACCATTTTGTGAGAGGCAGGAAGAGGTTGGATGGGCAGAATGTCAGTACACACTCAAAGAATAGAGAGTGTGGGCCTTCCAGAGAGATGGAAGGTGCAGCCTGGAGCTGGGGTATCTATGTGTTTGAGAAGTGCACATCTGTGGAATTTGTGAATCTACAACAAACATGAGTTTGGTTTACAGAAGGAAAATCAATGTCCAACCAACCTTAGAAAAATAATGGGTCAGATCATAGGTTGCAGGGTGGCCCACTGTAGAGTGGAAAGGCTAGGGTCCTGTCTACTGCATATTTATGCATTGTATATAGATGATAATCTTTTATTCTGTACTTCAAATATAAGATGACAGGATTTTGAAAGACTTTACTGTAAAGAAATGAAAAATATTTTAGGAAGCAGACTTTTCTAAACTGATTCAAACTTTAGGGGAGTTATACATCTCTTGGTAGCTCATGCAGGTGTAAATGTCTATTTTACATTTTTATTTGTCAGTTATAATACATTTCACTTTTAAAATATAATGACTATTTTGTCCCTGTAGGCTGTTTAATCCCTTCTTCCCTAAGAGAGATAGAATCTGCAGTTATTCTCATGGGGAATTCTCCAGAGAGCACATTGGTTGTGTGATGGTGTCTTTGAATAAGCTCTAGGATCCCAGTAGGACAGGACGTCCTTTCAGAAGGAACACATTATATTTCATGAGCCTTTGGGCATTGTGTATCACTCTCCATGAGAGTCATCATTACTATACACAGGCCTTCTTCTGACCCAAGAATTTACTATGACAAGGCATCCTTGCTCAGGGGAACACCCAAAGAAAAAAATCATATTGATAGACTCTTAAATGATAAGCTCTTTGAGAAAATATCTAGAGCTTCTCATTATCTACAGACACATTTTTCTTAATTATATGAGAGAAGAAATTCTACCATGTTTATTTTGTATATAAGAAAGTAAATCTCATTCTAGTGGCACCAAAAGCATCCATGGCCAATTGGAACTAGATCCACATGAATATCCTCCTCTCAATTTTTCCCTTCTTTCCTTGAAGAAGCTGGAACATTTTGTCCACCACCTGAGGAGAGGGCTCCTCTAAAAGTAATTCCTCTTCCATGGAAGATTTTATGATTTCATAATTGCTATTCTGGATTGACCTTTCTTTCTCTTTTAAAAAACTGGTAAGCTTCTATATTCCATAAACATTTTCATCAGAAATGTGATATATGGGAAGCACTGGCCTAACTATAGCTACGATGAGTTATTTA